TCCTGAATACAAAGTGTTACGTTCGGGGCAAATCCAACACAACACATCACTGAGTACCACTCTTCACATTTTCAAGTATGGTGGTGGCTGCATCATGTTATGGGTATATTTGTCATCGGCAAGGACTAGGGAGTTTTTTTTGGATAAAAATAAACTAAATAGAGCTAACCACAGGAAAAATCCTAGAGGAAAACCTGGTTCAGTCTGCTTTCCAACAGACACTGGTAGACAAATTCACCTTTCAGAAGGACAATAACCTAATACACAAGGCCAAATCTACACTGGAGTTGCTTACCAAGACGACATTTAATGTTCCTGAGTGGCCTAGTTACAGTTTTGACTTAAATCGGCTTAAACATCTATGGCAAGACTTGAAAATGGCTGTGTAGCAATGATCAACAACCAACTTGACAGAGCTTGAAGGATTTTTAAAAGAATAATGTGAAAATATTGCACAATCCAGTCTCTTAGAGACTTACCCAGAAAGACTCACAGCTATAATCGCTGCCAATGGTGATTCTAACATGTATTGACTCAGGGGTGTGAATACTTATGTGAATTAGATATTTCTGTATTCCATTTTTACTAAATGTGCTAAAATGTATAAAAACATGTTTTCACTTTGTCATTATGGGGTATTGTGTGTAGATGGGTGAGAAAAAATCAATTGAATCAATTTTGAATTCAAGCTGTAACACCAAAATGTGGAATAAGTCAAGGGCTATGAGTGGCGCAGTGGTCTAAGGCACTGCATCGCAGTGCTAACTGTGCCACTAGAGATCCTGGTTCGAATCCAGGCTCTGTCGCAGCCGGCCGCGACCGGGAGACCCAGCGTCATCCAGGGTAGGGGAGGGAATGGCCGGCAGGGATGTAGCTCAGTTGATAGAGCATGGTGTTTGCAACGCCAGGGTTGTGGGTTCGATTCCCACGGGGGGCCAGTATAAAAAAATATGTATTCACTAACTGTAAGTCGCTCTGGATAAGAGCGTCTGCTAAATGACTAAAATGTAAATGCTATGAATACTTTCTGAAGGCACTGTACCTGTACATTCATCTAGCTGGCTAAACTTCGCCTCAGGTGCATTGTGTTTTGTTCTATCTCTTTAGGTATGCTGGACATTTGATCTACTACATCGAAATTATGTCCATCACTTTGATTGGTAGTGGTCAAAACCTATTTCCGACACTTGGAATGGTCAGAATAAGGTCGTTTCGTTCCACCTTCAAATATGCAAATTAAAATGTAAGCTATGGGTTTTGGGTTAAATGTGATTATTTGAGTTTATATCCCCTTTTCATCTGTTTATACAATTTATTTCAGATATTTTCCTGCACGCAACATTTTTATTCAGCAGCATCTTAGAGATCCAAGTATTATCCCCTGGTGCTTTTGAAGTGACACTTGGTGAGCTAGTCTTTTTGTCCTCAAAGTGTCTTACTTTAATGGTATTGTTTTGATGGGTAACATTTTACTAAAGTTCCCTCAAATCTAGTGAATATTGGTGTACCATTTATTCCCTTTTCTCTACAGATACACCAGTGTGGTCTGAGCTTGAATCAGGATACATCCCTACTTTCAAAGACCTTTCTGAGATCCTGGATGGTAACTTGGGAGTTGAAACATACAAAGTCTTATAAAACTACATGTCAAGCTAACCAGCTACTCCTGAGATCTATGGGACAGTCTCATGGCTAAATGAAGGTCTGCACTAAAAACAGCATGCTCTTGGTCCAGGCCTGATGTCCTGTCACATCACATTTTTGCTGCCTCTGGAAACACGGAATACTTCAGAGCTCGCATTGTTTCGCTTAATGGCCAACTATTAAAGAGAAATCTGACAGATTTTTGTTTTGATCTGTAAATAAATGGTAAGGGCAGTTTGTCAATGTGGTAAGTTGTAGACTGCAGTGGAGACTGCTAAGGGGAGGACGGCTCATAAAATTGGCTGGAACGGCGCAAATAGAATGTATTTGATACCATTCCACTAATTCCGCTCCAGCCATTTTCACGAGCCCGTCCTCCCCAATTAAGGTGCCACCAACCTCCTGTGGTAGACTGGCAAAAAAAGTTTATGTTTGTTAGACAAACACTTGAGTTCAATGTTTAAATGGCCATAAAGAGTTAAAAGCCTTATCTTACTGTACCAGTTTGTACAGTATATTAGACAAGAGGAACAATGTTATTTTATAAGACAAATATACCTTCATACTATTTCTATACCATATCATTTTCACTGATAAGTGTAGCAGTGCTTTAGAAGTATACTGAACAAAAACCTGAAAACATGCAACAATTTCAAAGATTTTACTGATTTACAGTTCATAGAAGGAAATCAGTCAATTGAAATAAATTCATTAGGCCCTAATCTATGGATTTCACATGACTGGGCAGGGGCGCAGCCATGGGTAGGCCTGGGAGGGCATAGGCCCACCCACTGGGTAGCCAGGCCCAGCCAATCAGAATGAGTTTTTTCAGACAAAAGGGCTTTATACAGACCAAAACACTCCTGAGAACCCCCCTCCCCATCCTCAGAAAATCCTGAAGGTGAAGAAACCAGATGTGGAGGTCCTGGGCTGGCGTAGTTACATGTGGTCTGCGGTTGTGAGGCCGGTAGGATGTACTGCCAAATTCTCTAAAACGACGTTGGAGGCGGCTTATGGTAGAGAAATGAACATTCAATTCTCTTGCAACAGCTCTGTTGGTCATTCCTGTAACTTGAGACATCTGTGGCATTGTGTTGTGACACAAAACTGCACATTTTAAAGTGGCCTTTTGTCCCCAGCACAAGGTGCAGCTGTGTAATGATCATGCTGTTTAATCAGATTCTTGATATGTCACACCTGTCAGGTGGATGGATTATCTTGGCAAAGGAGAAATGCTCACTAACAGGGATGTAAACAAATTTGTGCACAAGATTAGAGAAATAATATTTTTATGGAAACATTTTGGGATCGTTTATGTCAGCTCATGAAAAATGATATCCAACATTTTACATGTTGCGTTTGTATTTTTGTTCAGTGTATATAAATACTTTAATACTTTAAGGCCAAGTCATAAAAGCATACTTGCAACTACCAGTTGCTAGGTCACAGCCTTATTTTCCCCCCTCATCAATCTACACACAATACCCCATAATGACAGAGCAAAAACAGGTTTTTATCAAAAAATTAACTGAAATATCACATTTACATAAGTATTTAGACCCATTACTCAGTACTTTGTTGAAGCACCTTCGGCAGTGATTACAGCCTCAAGTCTTCTTGGGTATGACGCTACAAGCTTGGCACACATGTATTTGATTTGGGGAGTTTCTCCCATTCTTCTCTGCAGATCCTCTCAAGCTCTGTCAGGTTGGATGGAGAGCGTTGCTGCACAGCTATCTTCAGGTCTCTCCAGAGACGTTTGATCAGGTTTAAGTCCGGGCTCTGGCTGGGCCACTCAAGGACATTCAGAGAATTGTCACGAAGCCACTCCTGTGTTGTCTTAGCTGTGTGCTTAGGGTTGTTGTCCTGTTGGAAGGTGAACCGTCACTCCAGTCTGAGGCCCTGAGAGCTTTGGAGCAGGTTTTCATCAAGGATCTCTCTGTACTTTGCTCCGTTCATCTTTGCCTCGATCCTGACTAGTCTCCCTGCTGCTGAAAAACATTGCCACAGCATGATTCTGCCACCACTATGCTTCACCGTAGGGATGGTGCCAGGTTTCCTCCAGACATGACGCTTGACATTCAGGCCAAACAGTTCAATCTTGGTTTCATCAGACCAGAGAATCTTGTTTCTCATGGTCTGAGAGTCTTTAGGTGTCTTTGGCAAACTCCAAGTGGGCTGTCATGTGCCTTTTACTGGAGGAGTGGCTTCCGTCTGGCCACTCTACCATAAAGGCCTGATTGGTGGAGCGCTGCAGAGATGGTTGTCCTTCTGGAAGGTTCTCGCATCTCCACAGAGGAACTCTGGAGCTCTGTCAGAGTGAACATCGGGTTCTTGGTCATCTCCATGACCAAGGCTTTTCTCCCCCGATTGCTCAAGTTTTGCCGTGCGGCCAGCTCTCTGAAGATTCTTGGTGGTTCCAAACTTCTTCCATTTAAGAATGATGGAGGCCACGGTGTTCTTGGGGACCTTTAATGCTGCAGAAATCTTTTGGTACCCTTCCCCAGATCTGTGCCTTGACAAAATCCTGTCTCAGCGCTCTACGGACAATTCCTTCGACCTCATGGCTTGGTTTTTGCTCTGACATGCACTGTCAACAGTGGGACCTTATATAGACAGGTGTGTGCCTTTCCAAATCATGTCCAATCAATTGAATTTACCACAGGTGGACTCCAATCAAGTTGTAGAAACATCAAGGATGATCAATGGAAACAGGATGCACCTGAGCTCAATTTCAAGTCTCATAGCAAAGGGTCTGAATACATACGTAAATTAGGTATGTTTAAACATTAATACATTTGCAAAAATTTCTAAAAACCTGTTTTCGCTTTGTCATTATGGGGTATTGTGTGTAGATTGCTGAGGATCTTTTTAAAAAAAATCCATTTTAGAATAAGGCTGTAACATAACAAAATATGGGAAAAGTCAAGGGGTTTGAATACTTTCCGAAGGCACTATGTCTTCTATTCAATTGCTTTCTCAACAACTTCACTGACCCAGCCTTTTGAAGGAAAGGATTATATTCTAACACAGTTAACTCACAAATAAAACACATGAAAAAGTACCATGGAATTAAGATTTTATTTAAAACTGTTCAGAAAGGCTTATTGAGAGAGAATGAGAGTGACACATTTACTATTGGTATACAAAACATTGTTTTGAGGAATAAAAAAAAAAAGCCTATACAGAAGCAGTATTCATCTGAAATAAGAAAATGCCAACTCGTGATGCTATTTTAAAACTAAAACATTCTGAATATTTCCCATGCAATTTTCACAGTACATAACGTAATATACCATGTATCAATTTTAAAATATAGTACAGTTTGAAAAGTAAAAAAACTTTAATTGACTATTTTAGAATCTGCGACGCTTGTTGGCACCAAAGTCTGCAGGGCCAGGCCCTCTTGGGAAGATAGGCTGGCCTCCTCCGGGCATGTTGTTGTTTCCTGCTCCCTGCTGGAGAAAACAGAAAAGACACGCAAGATGAGTGACAATGACAAATGAAAGAGTCTCTTGCAGCTATATATTTACATGAGACTTACATTTTTTAAATTAAATACATATTTGGTTATCCTATCCCTGTTGGCGCAATAAATGCATTCATCTTGGTATGTAAATATATTGTTTGTTATTCTAAAATGTCTCTGACATTACCATTAAAGGGGGGTTCTCAGCAGGTATGTTGGCAGCTCCAGGGATGGGCCCGCTGGGGTTTCCTTCACCACCACCCATCGAGTTTCTGTTTATTCCTTGACCTACACCAAACCAAAAGTCAGCACATCAGCAAACCAATAAAATACAGTGGGGTCAGGAATTATTAGATCTCTTGATAAAGATGAGCATAAAATACTAAAATAAAGAAATACTGAGCTGTATTGTATGCTAAAATTGTTGTTTAACAAGTTTATATATTTTTTATATCTAAAAAAGATAGGGGTCAAAAGAACACATTGGGAGGGATCTTAGACCATTCCGCCATACAGAATCTTTCCCGATCCTTGATATCCTTCGTCTGTGCTTATGGACTGCCTGTTTCAATTCAAACCACAGGTTTTCAATGGGGTTCAAGTTCAGAGACAAATGGCCATCGCAAAATGTAAATGTTCTACAGTAGGGATGAGGTATTTTCTGCATATGCATTGTTCTTTCAAAGGCCAAACCCACCGCTGGTGTGCGTGGCGGCCAAATACCTATATTTGTGTCATATGACCATAGCACTGATTCCAATCTGAGTGACAATGCCATTTAGCAAACTCCAGGCAGTGCCATGGTCAGATGACATAAAAATAGAGCTCTTTGGCCACGCACACCAATGGTGGAAGAACAATGCATATGCAGAAAATACCTCATCCCTACTGGAAAATATGGTGGTGGATCTTTGATTTTATGGGGTTATTCTGCATCCAATGGTCCTGGGGCCCTTGTTAAGGTCAACAGCATCATGAACGGCACCAAGTACCAGGACATTCTAGCCATAAATCTGGTTGCCTCTGCCAGGAGGCTGAAACTTGTCCGCAAGTGAATCTTCCAGCAAGACAATAACCCCAACCACACATTCAAATTCACAAAGAAATGGTTAATTGTCCACAAACTCAACATCTTGCAATCTCAGTCTCCGAACTTGAACCCCATTGAAAACCTGTGGTTGGAATTGAAGAGGGCAGTCCATACCGCAGACGAAGGATATCAAGGATCTGGAAAGATTCTGTATGGAGAAATGGTCCAAATGTTTTCTCCAATCTCATAAAACATTTAGAAAAAGGTTCAGTGTCGTTATCCTCGCAAGGGGAGGGTGCTGGAGTTTTGAAAACAGAGGATCCAATCATTTTTGACCTTGATCTTTGAGCTTTTTTGTATTTATTTATTACTTGTTAAAACAATCTCTTTCTCTGAGCAATTGTATTAGTATAAAATATAATTTTCCATATTTTATAAATGTTTCTGTTCTTTTCAATATAATTATTTATTTTACAGTCTTTTTTGCTTATCTTTATCAAGGGATCCAATAATTCCAGACCCCACTGTATATACTAGATAACATGGTGACCACTACCCTTGATAGCTCAGTGAAGATCTGAAAGCTAATGGAAACCTTACCTTGCATGTGCATCCGCATCTCCTGCTCCCGCTAAGAAAAATTATAACACATCAGGAAGGCATTATTTAATCAGATAGATTAAACAATTGACAGCTTAGAATAAGCAACCAAAATATTGTTTTAGTGAATAATGGTCCTTTTTCCGATTGCTCAGCCACAAACACAATTGCAAAGATGCTTAGAAACATTTAGGCAACTTTCATTTCTGTGTATAGAGTAATAATGATTATATATATATATATATATTTTTTTTTATCAGTGTATTTAACCAGTGTCAAATAGCAATGACTCACATTTCCAGGGAAGTTCCCCTTGAAGCCCTCCTGCTGCCGCCTCATAATCTCCTCACTGTGCATCCTCATCTCCTCCTCCCTCCTGCGATGTTCCTCTTCCTGACGCAGCTCCATCTGCTTCCTCTTCTGCATCTCCTGGTTATGGAGCTCCTCCATTCTCCTCAGCTCCTCTTGACGCCTTAGCAGGTCTGTAATGAGATGAACACCCCGTTTGTTAGTAACCTAGTCAAAAGACCTATACCATATGAATCAATTGCCAACAGGATTGCATTCAAGCGGTGTATGAGATTGATATCTGGGCTAAATCTGGTGGTAAGACACTATAAGAAATACATACATTTCTCCATAGGACAGCCTGTTTTGTGTTTATTAGTGTCCTTAACCTTGGATTGATAAGGTGTCTGTAGAGTGGACCCAGACCATACATACCTTGTCTCATCAGGATAACCTGGTGCTCATGTCTGGCTGCCTCCATCTCTTGCTCCAGCTTCTCCTGAGCCTCCTTGATGTTCCTGTCCACCTGCTCATACTGTTGCTTCTCCATCTCCATCAGGGCCTTCCAGCGCATGGCATACTCATACTCAAATGTCCCTGGCTGGGCAAATCTCGGTGGCTGCTCCCGCTCCCTGGTAGAGAGATTTTACACAAGAAAACCAGCTCAATATGAAACACTTAAATGTCATGGATTGTACCTCTTTTCGGCAGCATGGTGTGAGATTGTTCTAAGCACAGTTCTGACCCATGCATTTGGAGAAAGTATGCCAAAACCCAAAACTATGATTACTCACTTGTGAAACACTTGGTTTTTGTTAACAATCCTCTCTGGCAGTCCCTCATCCTCATCAAACTGCTCCATTGGCTCGACTGTCACTGGCCTGGGGAATCTGAAAAGTGGAAAACAATCAGCATTACTTCTCCCATTTTGAAAACATTACAACAAAATGCATTTGAAATATTACATGTTTTTATTTTATTTACAACCCGATACTTACGCAGTCAATAGAAAGGCTCCATCTGCACACCTATCCAGAGCCTTCCTTGCTGCAGGCTTGGCTGTGTATTCCACAATCCCTTTTCCTGTGGGTCTCCCTCTATCATCCACTATAACTATGGCCCTTTCAATCTGGCCAAAGACAGAGAAAGCCTCTTCCAGGAGCTCATTGGAAATGAACTGTGGCAAATTCCTCACAGTTAGAGCAGCACCATGTGTTGCAAATCGCACGCGCAACTGTCTGCCTCTGAATGAGGTGTCATCAAGCTCGGCTTTAGCAATCTCAGCCACTGTTTTTGTCTCCTGTTGGTAGAAAAGGATCAAATAAGAACATGAACGCTTTTCCATTCATTTAGGATTGAGGAATATAACTTCCATCCCTTGAACATGCTACTGTGACAGAGTGGAAATTCAGCCCCAACCGGGGTGCAAACTTATGACCTTCCTCACTGTAACAAAAACTCAAGAGGCACTGTCAATATAACTGACCCAGAAAGCTAAGGCAATTCTGAATCTGGGGGTTACAGTACTTCTAGATCTCAGGAAGGCAGTAGTGAAGCACTTGGTCATCCGCTACACTAGCTACTTACCAGTCTAATGAATCCAAACCCCCTGTCCTTGTTGATGAAAATCTCAGCTGCCTTGCCATACTTGGAAAACAACTTCTCCACCTCCGCCTCTGTAACACCAGTTGGTAAATTTCCCACAAACAGACGGCTACGCTGAGTGTAAGTCTTCTCTCCAGGTTTCCTGAAGTTTTGTAGATCTATGGTTATTCCCGCATCTACAGAGAAGCAAAAGATTAGAATCTCTAATACTGTATGATTTCATTTCCTTCCAATACAGGGCTCAGGAGTCAATTAACCCTATCTTACTTGGGCTCTCCTGCTCATCTGCATGCTGTCCATTGCTGTTGGCTCCAGGGTATTTCTGGTTTTCCATCTGGTGTCTAGATGGGCCATGATACTGCTGTTCACCACGGGGGCCCTGGTTTCCTTGCATCTAACAAAAAGGACATCAGTCATTAACAGAGTCACTACATGGATTTCATAGCTAACACCATCGGTCAAAAAATGCATGAGGATGCAAGAGATTTCAAAGCCAGAGGAACGCTGTAGCTAACCTATTTTGGCTAACGTTTAACAAGCAAATAGTAGATGGTAAAGAGTGGCGTTGAGCGCTACCATTGGCTAGGTAACGAAATGCGATCTACAGTACATAAATCAACTAGCTAACGTTAGCTACTGTACAGTAACGTTACCAACATTTGAAAGCCACCTTTGTTTGCTAGCTAGCATAGCTAGCTAACTAGTTCAAGACAGCTAGCCAACCAACATACATTTTGAAACAATCTGTTAGTTAGCTAACGAATTAAAACATGTTAGCTAGCTAACGGTTAGCTACTTATGTGAAGCTGGCTAGCAATTTCGCTACTTACCTAAGCTAACCATCCTCACCACGAAGCTAACATAGCTAGCACAATAGTTTTGTTCCTAGCAAATGTATGCAACACATGCTAATATAAGCAACTTCTCAGATGAAAGCAACATTTTTGCATATTCAACTATTACTTTTTCATACCTTTATAAAATAAATGTTTTGGGATTCCAACACACGTAGAATGGAAAATCGCTCTTTACAAATAGAGAATGGATTTCACAAACAACCTTGATTCCACTTGTGAAAGCAGATTGGCTGACTGGGAGAAGGCGGATGTAAGATAGACATGCAGTGATTGGAAGAATTCCCGTCAATTATATAGAGAAGAACAAATCTAACAATCTGAGTGGTGCATATTCGATTTTGATCATTCCTTGATTTTTGTCAGAGATCTTAAAATAATGACCATAAAAATATAATGAATAGAACGGCTTTTGGAACCTCTAACCCTGGCAATTTGACTGGTAAACTCATGGGTACACTCGCAATGGCTGCCTGGTATTATGATGCAATAATTTCCATGTAATGTAGAATGTTCATTCAAATAATGTTAACTGATGTGATATGCAATTTAATGTATTTTTAACGCAATTGAATGTATTTTTTTGTAATGTCAGTTGAGTTTAATCAACAAATCACAGCACATATTGATGGGTACACCTGCTTTGCTCCACTGTACCGCAGTATGAGTCATAATACCCATAAAACCTAGCATTCAAACAGGGAAACGGTTCCAATCGTTTTTCGACAATTCATTTTCCCCATAGTTTTTATTTTACTTTTTAGAAACACTTAAAATAAGGGCGATGTTCCATGTAGGCTTACCCAGGCGTGATGTTTTGATAACCGTGCAAATCTCTCTCAGACAAGGTCACTTTTATCATTATAGTCGCCTGTAATTACCCCCCAAAAATGAAATGCTAATGTGGCTATCATACAGAACTTCACATCTTGCCGCAAGCTTTGACGTCATCCCTCAAGGCACATTTCTCCATGCAGTAACCTAGAAAGTAGATATTATAGCCTTTTTAGTTTGATATTGTGTATTACTCGTGTGTATTCTTGTTTAGCATTTTTCAAATTACCTAGCTAGCTACCTTAGCATTTTTTTATTACTAGAATTACCCTCTGGCCTTTGTAGTGAACTAGCTAAACTTAGGTCTCTCCGTTGATCTGACGCCACTACTCGGATAAGCACACATGCATTTTATCGTTTTCCCACCTCTGTAATCGAGAGGCATCGCTAGAACTGTGTGATAAGGTAAACCCTGTTTGCTAGTTGCTAACAAGCTGTTTCGGTTAGGTCAAAGATCTGTGGTTAGCTAGGTGCTTGTGAAAATTTGCTAAATAACCACCGGTCCTTACAAGTAAAAAGAAAACCAACATAGGCTAGCATAATGACTGTTGTGATATTTTTATTGGCAAGTATTTAGTGAGCTAGCCAGCTAGTTAACGTTAGCTCACGGTTTGGTAGTCATACTTTTTCACGTGGTGACATGCTAGCTATCATTAGCCCACCAGGGAAGGGATATTTAGCTAACGTTAGCTAGTTAACTAGCAAGTCACAGACACGAATGATCTGCTTGGCGTGTTGACACACTGGTGGTTTGTTGTGGCCGAGTATTGGTGCTAAACCGTGTTGTTGGAGGCTGGCATGCTAATTGGCTGTGGTGTCATAGGATTCGGTGCCCTGGACGGTTTTCATGGAAGAATACTGTACCAAGTTAGCTAGCTGAATAAACTAAGTTAGTCTATTCCTAGAAAACATTGAACTGCTGTAGTTTACAACAATTATAGTTTCTGAGGTGGAAGTTGGGAGAGTTATATTTGGGTGTTTCAGTGAAACGTAAGTGAGGGAGGCCCCGCTCTCTCGCTTTCCCAGATGTTTAGTTCATTTCATTCCGATCTCCTTTGCATTATTGTAGCCATTTTCTGTAGCCTGTCAACTATGTGTCTGTCTATCCCTGTTCTCTCCTCTCCGCACAGGCTATACAAACGCCTCACACCGCGTGGCTGCTGCCACTCTAACCTGGTGGTCCCTGCACGCACGACCCACGTGGAGTTCCAGGTCTCCGGCAGCCTCTGGAACTGCCGTTCTGCGGCCAACAAGGCAGAGTTCAGAGTTCATCTCAGCCTATACTACCCTCCAGTCCCTCGACTTCTTGGCGCTGACGGATACAAGGATTACCACAGAAAACACTGCTACCCCTACTGCTCTCTCCTCGTCTGACCATGTGTTCTCGCATACCCCGAGAGCATCTGGTCAGCGGGGTGGTGGCACAGGAATCCTCATCTCTCCCAAGTGGACATTCTCTCTTTCTCCCCTGACCCATCTGTCTATCTCCTTATTTGAATTACATGCTGTCACAGTCACTAGCCCATTCAAGCTTAACATCCTTGTCATTTCTCGCCCTCCAGGTTCCCTTGGAGAGTTCATCAATTAGCTTGACGCCTTGATAAGTTCCTTTCCTGAGGATGGCTCACCCCTCACAGTTCTGGGTGACTTTAACCTCCCTACGTCTACCTTTGACTCATTTCTCTCTGCCTCCTTCTTTCCACTCCTCTCCTCTTTTGACCTCACCCTCTCACCGTCCCCCCCTACTCTCAAGGCAGGCAATACGCTTGACCTCATCTTTACCTAGATGCTGTTCTTTTACTAATCTCACTACAACTCCCCTCCAAGTCTCCGACCACTACTTTGTATCCTTTTCTCTCTCACTCTCCTCCAACACTACTCACTCTGCCCCTACTCAGATGGTAATGCGCCGTCGCAACCTTCGCTCTCTCTCTCCCGCTACTCTCTCCTCTTCCATCCTATCATCTCTTCCCTCTGCCCAATCTCCTGATTCTTCCTCCTCAACCCTCCTCTCCTCCCTTTCTACATCCTTTGACTCTATGTCCCCTATCCTCCCGGCCGGCTCGGTCCTCCCCTCCTGCTCCGTGGCTTGACGACTCATTGCGAGCTCACAGAACAGGGCTCCGGGCAGCCGAGCGGAAATTGAGGAAAACTAGACTCCCTGCGGACCCGTCATCTTTTCACTCCCTCCTCTCTACATTTTCTTCCTCTGTTTCTGCTGCTAAAGCCACTTTCTACCACTCTAAATTCCAAGCATCTGCCTCTAACCCTAGGAAGCTCTTTGCCACCTTCTCCTCCCTGCTGAATCCCCCCCCCCCCCCCCTCCCTCTCTGTGGATGACTTCGTCAACCATTTTGAAAAGAAGGTTGACGACATCCAATCCTCGTTTGTTAAGTCAAATGACACTGCTGTTCCTGCTCACACTGCCCTACCCTATGCTTTGACTTCTTTCTCCCCTCTCTCTCCAGATGAAATCTTGCGACTTGTGACGGCCGGCCGCCCAACAACCTGCCCGCTTGACCCTATCCCCTCCTCTCTTCTCCAGACCATTTCCGGAGACCTTCTCCCTTACCTCACCTCGCTCATCAACTCATCCTTGACCGCTGGCTATGTCCCTTCCGTCTTCAAGAGAGCGAGAGTTGCACCCCTTCTCAAAAAACCTACACTCGATCCCTCCGATGTCAACAACTACAGACCAGCATCCCTTCTTTCTTTTCTCTCCAAAACTCTTGAGCGTGCCATCTTTAGCCAATTCTCTTGCTATCTCTCTCAGAATGACCTTCTTGATCCAAACCAGTCAGGTTTCAAGACTGGTCATTCAACTGAGACTGCTCTTCTCTGTGTCACGGAGGCTCTCCGCACTGCTAAAGCTAACTCTCTCTCCTCTGCTCTCGTCCTTCTAGACCTATCTGCTGCCTTTGATACTGTGAACCATCAGATCCTCCTCTCCGAGTTGGGCATCTCCGGCGCGGCTCACTCTTGGATTGCGTCCTACCTGACAGGTCGCTCCTACCAAGTGGCGTGGCTGAATCTGGCTCCGCACCACATGCTCTCACCACTGGTGTCCCCCAGGGCTCAGTTCTAGGCCCTCTCCTATTCTCGCTGTACACCAAGTCACTTGGCTCTGTCATATCCTCACATGGCCTCTCCTATCATTGCTACGCAGACGACACACTTAATTAATCTTCTCCTTTCCCCCTCCTGATAACCAGGTGGCGAATTGCATCTCTGCATGTCTGGCAGACATATAAGTGTGGATGACGGATCACCACCTCAAGCTGAACCTCGGCAAGACGGAGCTGCTCTTCCTCCCGGGGAAGGACTGCCCGTTCCATGATCTCGCCATCACGGTTGACAACTCCGTTGTGTCCTCCTCCCAGAGTGCAAAGAGCCTTGGCGTGACCCTGGACAACACCCTGTCGTTCTCCGCTAACATCAAGGCGGTGACCCGATCCTGTAGGTTCATGCTCTACAACATTCGCAGAGTACGACCCTGCCTTACACAGGAAGCGGCACAGGTCCTAATCCAGGCACTTGTCATCTCCCGTCTGGATTACTGCAACTCGCTGTTGGCTGGGCTCCCTGCCTGTGCCATTAAACCCCTACAACTCATCCAGAACACCGCAGCCCGTCTGGTGTTCAACCTTCCCAAGTGCTCCTCCGCACACTCCACTGGCTTCCAGTTGAAGCTCACATCTGCTACAAG